TTTCCCTCTCTTCAGACCTCTAGCCAGACTGAACTGGAGAACTGGATCACAGCAATCCATTCAGCTTGTGCCACTGCAGTGGCAAGGCAGCATCACAAGGAGGACACCGTCAAGCTCCTGAAAACAGAGATAAAAAAGCTGGAGCAGAAGATTGATATGGATGAGAAGATGAAGAAAATGGGTGAAATGCAGCTGTCCTCAGTAACAGACTCCAAGAAGAAGAAGACCATACTGGATCAAGTAATCTCACTTTCTTATGTGAAATAAACCCCTAGCAAATATTTAAAGCCGTCTTCAGGTAGCAATACCTCTCTCTGGTCCTGTTGTGCCATGCGTGTGTGTGGACAGAGCTCCCCAGAGCAGGCAGGACATGTATTGGCAGGAGAGCTATGCTGGCTGTCCTAGTTGCACTGTTTCTCCAAACTTTGTGCACTAAAGTAGAGCATGGGCTGTCTTCTGGCCTCCATATGAGCTGCTCAGAGGTTGAGTTAGGGCTTTAGGGGAGTGAAGAGGCTTCGAGACCATGGCAGCAGGATGCCTTATGGAAGAGCTGGTCATAGATTAATTAATGCTGCCGTTCTGTTGCCTTAAGCATGGAAGAGGCTGGTTCTTCTGCTGGCAGATGGGATGAAGAGACCATCCCTGGTTTCTGCTTTTTACAAGGGCCTACCTTGACCTCATGGCTGCAGCCTTGGCTGCCCCTCAGGACCACTCCTTCTGACTTGAAGTGGACAACGTAAGTTGTGTTTGAGAAGCAGAGAGTCTAGAGCAGATGTCTCTCCCACTGCCACAGTGGCACCTTATTTTAGGAAACTAACATATGGCTCCTGCTTCATTAGTTTGTAGCTTTTTTACAGCGGCTGCTAAATGCCCCTGTAACACAGACCATAGCAGCTGGGGCCCTAGTGTGCTAATCTAGAGAAAATTTGTAACCGCTGGAAGCATGTGAGAAGAGGGAAGAGAGTCTTTCTTTGTTGAAAGGACTCCACTCAAAGGCTGTCAATCACAGTGAGAAGACAGAACAGTCTCTCTTTATGTAACTGTTTTTCTAAATGCTTTGAAACCATTTCCTATTAGTAATTTGAATTATTTAAACAAGTCCTTACATAGGCTGATTATAGTGCTCTTTTGCTGGTGAGATTAATTGTCCCTAGTGTATAGCACTTTTTCAAGTATGGTGAACTCCACTGATGCTCACAGCAATGCTGCTGATGTGGCTGCTGATTCAGGGGCACTCGGTATGTGGAATTTGGTGGGGTTTGGTCTTCTTGTTTCTCAGATGCCCTTGATACATGAAAGAAGCCTCTTGAGGGACTGCTTAGAAGAGTACCCTGGAATACAAAGAAAATTAAAAATGGAATTTTAATCCTATTAATTAACATCGTATCAAAGGAGTGGTTGTCTCAGGAGAGCACTTCTGCCATGAACATAAAAAAGCTGTTTTCCATCTCATGAAATTTTTTTTGCTATTTGTATCCCATTTGGGTTTGGGAGAGTAGAAGGGTGGGAAAGAAGAGGAATCAAAGCTTCTTGAGTGAGATCAGCATTGGTGAAAGAAGTGTATCACTGGGAACAGTAGAATTTTCTCCAGGTATTTATCACTCTGTTCTTCCACCTCTCCCCTTTTCTTCTTATGCATCTCACTCTTCAATCTTTGCTGTACACAGATCTTTGTTTGGGAACAAAATCTCGAACAGTTCCAGATGGACCTATTTCGATACCGCTGTTACTTGGCAAGTCTCCAGGGAGGGGAGCTCCCAAACCCTAAAAGACTGCTTGCTTTTGCCAGCCGTCCAACCAAAGTTGCAATGGGCCGTCTTGGAATCTTCTCAGTCTCGTCATTTCATGCACTGGTAAGTTTGAACAGAGGCCAGAGGTCAACTTTGCCAACCTGCAAATCACTTCATGTGTTCTGTGCAGAGATCATGTCAACAAACAGGCAGAGGGAGGGGGGCCCTTACCTTAGTGTGCAGAATATTCTGCTTCCCGAAAGTGGTGTGTGTCCTAGATATAGATCAAAAAGAGATGCTTGCAAGCCATGGCCTTATGGTAGAACCATGTTTGTCCTAAACATGTGATTTTAAATTTCCAGATCTGCACTATAAACATGCTTTCAGGTCTTCCTGTTACAAGAGCTGGCTCATCTCTAATGGGCTTGATCCAAAAGTCCACTGAAGTCAATGGGGATCTTTCAGAGGCCCTCAGTGTGTGTTGGCTTAGATCTTCTTCAGCTTGATTTCCTTGCTACTATATGGATGAATCTATTGACCCATTAGTCTAATATCCAGTCTTCAGTGCTCCAAAAAGGAGGGGAAGTGTTCTTCTCTCTACTTATGGTGTGGCAAATAATGTTTGAGATGGTTGCTTAAATTTAAATAACGTAGAACCCAGCTCTTAAAAGTACAGGGAAATGTATTGCAAAGTAGTGTTTTTTAAATGAGTTTAAATCAAGTTCCTGTAGTTTCAGCTTGGACTCTTTGAGCTTCACAGAAATAGCTGAGCCCCACTGATGTCTCATAGATGTCAGCTGTACCCTTCAATTGAATCCAGAGCTGTAATTCAGTCAGGGGCGTTTTTATTCTTTTATATATGAAAAGATTAGTGTCATCATCCTGATAATTGCTGGTGGATTTTTATATATATTTTTTTTTAAGTGGCTGGGTGCAATTTGCATTTGTGCTTATTTTTTTTGCATTTAGCAAAGCACTGAGTGTTAGTCTGAAAAACAGTCTGCCTCTTCATGCTGGTGTCTTTTGAGAGCCAAGTGAAAAAAAAAATGTTTTGAAGATGTTGTGTTGAAAAAGACACATACTTTCTTCTCCTCTAAGCAAACTCTCATGTCCTCCTTTGCCCTCAGTAGTGTGGTGGTGGTGCAGTGAGTCTCAGACTCGAGCTGGGTTCTGCATGGTGATAGAATCCCTAGCTCTCCTGAAGACGTTCCTCAGTACATTAGCTAGAGGATGTGCTAAGTTTTCCAGCTGCCTCTGCACAAATGTCCCAGGTAGAGCTGAGAAATGTTTCACGAGTCCAGGCTGTGGAAATGGAGATGCTTGCAGTAGTGTTTACGTTCTCCTTTTCCTTCATATCTCCACATTTCCCAAGGAGAATAACCATTTACTCATACAGCGACAGTTCCCTGGGTACACGAGCCTGTTCATCCCATCTTTGTATGAGTTTTTGTATCTGCTGCACCCAAACAACCAGTTTCTCAGCTCTGTAGCTTGGGGCGTCACTCTGAGATTTGGGTGTTCCTGCTGGGGTTGCCAAATGACAGTCACATTTTGCTAGTTTCGGCTGTGGGAATTCAGTACAAAGGCGTTTCAGGAAGTGTACAGCCAAGTCTGCAGGGTGGGTCTGTCTGTCTGTCTCACTTCGCCTTGTGCTCCCGTTCGTACCTGCCATCTCCTACCACTCCCTTTTTTTGCAGGAGAGGAGCTTGCTCTCCAGAGGCCTCCTCAGCATGGGAAATCTGCTTCAACTTTGGCCTAAACACTTCACCTCACACTTATTTCTACCAGAGCTTCTTTATTAGGGAAATGCTTCCCAGATATTTGGTCTCAGTAAAGGCAAATATCTTTTTGCTCTGAAGGGGTTGCCACTGGCCATTTTTCAAGTACCCAAGAAGTTAACACTGCTTTAATCAAAAAGGCCATTTCAGCTGACTTTTTTTTCTTCCTGTGTTTTGCTCACTCCTTCAAATGTTGCTATCTTTAAGGAAGTGCAGGTTTTAAATACCTTGATCTATTTGCAAGCCTTTATCTGGCATTTTAACAGTTGTGAGTCAGTTCCAGGATGCCCAGAGTGTTTCCACAGGAAAACGCAAAGAGAAAGACTGGGCTTCGAAAGCAGCAGATAAGTTTGGAATCCCAAACCCTTCACTGGTGCTGAGGCTTTGCCCTGTGATAATTAGGCTGTTTCAAAGTAGATCTAATTAAATGCCAAAAAGGGGGAGGAGGAGTTACTGTCTATTTTAATTTTTGATGTTTGACTTTAGAAGAAGTGAGTTAAATAGCATTGAGAAGGAAGTAGCCTGGCAGCATCACCGTTGTCCCTGTTGTGAGTACACATTGTTGCCAGAGTGACTTTTTTTTAAAAAAAACAAACAAACAACAGCAACAGATTCCACTCTTTGTTACATTATGTAAGCCATGGTGCAGTGGGATGCTGCAACCTTTGTTTTTTAAAACCATGTGGCCTTGACAGGTGGCGGCACGCACAGGGGAGTCCGGAGTGAGGAGAAGGACTCAGGCCATGTCCAGATCTGCCAGTAAACGGAGAAGCAGGTTTTCTTCTCTTTGGGGGCTGGATACTACCTCGAAGAAAAAGCAAGGGAGGCCAAGCATTAATCAGGTATGTGTGTGGAAGTTTCTGATATTCTTATTTCCAAGGCTTATTTCTTAGCGTGCAGAATGCAGCTTATTTAGAGATCCACTCACACCAAGTACTTACACATCCAATCTTAACCTTACCTGCTTAATCTTTGACAGCATAGTGTCATCTCATTCCACATCCTCTTCAAAAATCAGTGACTATAATTACAGATAAGTCTACAGCAGTTCCTATAAAGCAAAGTTTGGAGTTTGCACCTTCTTTAGCTGAATTGGTTGCATTTCTACTGTGGTTGTATTTCTGCTGCTTCTGCTTTTGCTGGAGGTCCTTTTAAACTCAGGAGTAACAAAACAACAGTGTAAACCACATACAATTTTGGAAGGGGAGAAAAAAGTGTAGACTTGTTTGTTTCCTTAAATTAAAATTATGACTGTAGAATACTTTAAGTGTAGTTGAGTTTTGGGGAAACTTCCTGAAGCAACATAAAGCTTTGCATTTAGTAGGGACAGTCCCTGTTTTGCTTCAGATTTTTAAAAAATCAAAAGCTGAAATGTTTACACCCAGTTACTGAACAGATCTTTCTCTAGAAAACATGTTTCAGTGTGGAAAGAAGGTGCTTCCTTGTTATTCTTTCCAAACATCCCTAATAATAGCTTTTGCTTTTTGAGAGCTATACATCATCTAATTGCAGGAAATGTAGGCTTTGCTTTTCTTTCTCTTCTTTCACTTTTTGAAGAGAGAAAGGCTTGGGACATGTGTTGTTCTGTGCCCTGTGATTTCTTCTTCTCTCTGTTAAAGCAGCAGTGGGTGTTTGTTTTGTTTAGCAGAGGATGAATGCTGCAGAATTGTTTAGCTTGTTTTTAGTGAGACATTAAAAGTTCACCTAATATTTAGGAGCTAAACAAAAGTTCAGGGTTTTGTTGGGAAGCAGCAGATGCCTTTCTGAGTGCATTCCCAATTCTTTGTGCTGGTGCTCTGGCATCCCTGGTACTTTATACTTACTTTCCCCAAATTGTTACCACAAGTTGTCCTGAGCTAGGATCATGCTGTGTCTTCAGACCTGTTTTTGTTTGTTTGTTTGTTTGTTTGTTTTTTCCTGAACAAATCCTTTTTTCTTCTTCTTCTTTCAGTGGGGATAAATGCATTCTCCACATTTCTTCACCCTGCTCCCACTCTTACCCCCCTCAGTCTTCAATAACCACAGGCATGAAAAGGTTAAAGAAAAGTGATACTTGAGAGAGTCAAAGAAAAAGTTGTTTTTACAAAGTAGCAGAATATCTAATGTAGTGCCTGAAGTTATTTCCCCTGTTTGTGTGCAGCAGCATGCAATGTATTGTCAAGTTGAAGCAAAAACTGTATCATTCCAAAGGGCAATGACCTCTTCTATGGTCCCTGCTTCATTTTAGGTCCAGAACAGTTAACAGCCAAACCCAGCAACTTGATCATAAATCTGTGCTGATGTGGAGCTATAAACCTTAACTTTTTGGTTTTAATTGTAAGCTTCTGCTGCAGTAACAACCCTGTTTGCCTGTCTGATGTGGTTCTCTGCTGATTTGGGGGTGGATCCTGTATTTATTCCCATTCTGTTGTTCTTCTTGCACCAAGTCCTGTTGATTTTGGCTCTCTGGCTTGTGGTGGGTTACCAGCTTTTATTTCATTAGATGAGGGTTACACTAACTTGCGGTACTTGAACGTTTCCTAAGTACTTTTTGAAAGCTGTTTTATTACAAAACCAGCCAGAAGCTGAGACCTTCTGATTTCTCAGCCTTAGCAGAGGTGGAGAAGCATTCATTTCCCCCACTGTACAGGTGGGGAAACTGAGCACAAAAGGATACACGATTTGTCCAGCTCCATCAAGTAAATCAGGGACAGACCACTAAGCAGAACTGGCCTCTAAGCTTTCAGGATGGTGCTCTGTGACCAGCTTGCTCTTCATTCCCTGTCCCTCTTAACCAGCTGATATTTTCCTTTTCAGTGTTTTGAGATGAATATTTTTATTTTTTCAGTTTGATTTCCTTGCTAGACATTAGATACACTTACTGTGTGCTGCAGATGGTGTGGAGGCACATTCATGTTTTAAAGCAGAGTCTTTCTGTTGTTCCTCAGGTGTTTGGTGAAGGAGTTGATTCAGTGAAGAAGTCTCTTGAAGGCATCTTCGATGATACAGTCCCAGACGGCAAGGTAAAACTCCAGCTGCCTCCTTCCCCCTCATTTGCAGCCACCATAAATGCAGTGTTGACTCTGGGACTTGAGGGGGGACACGGAGCCCCTGGGAGAGGACCCTCTGTGCACTTTAGGGCTTGTAGTTGCTCTGGGAGGGTTAGAGCTGGTTGCCCACAGTGAAAAGGGCTCACTGCATGTGGCATCCTAAGTGCAGCCGGAGGTGCCAGATCTAGAGGGGTGTTAGCACTGTATGCTAGAGAAATCTCTTCCCACAGGAGGACTTTGACACCACTGGTTCTGGAAAACAGCTCCTTGTGACAACCATATTTAGTGTTGGCACAACTATGAAGCACAGGGCTTCCTCTGTTTTGTTCTCATACTCTTCTGTGAGCTTCTGTGTTTGCAGCCCAAATTACAACTGCTTTTTCTTTTCTCAGAGAAAGTCAGCTATCAACCAGCATTGAGACAGTGCTAAGAGGCACGTTCTTCATCTAGTGAATATGGGTTTAGCTGTGTGAGCCCACTTGCAGTAAATAGGAATTCTGCAGCTCTGTCACTTCCTGGGGATTTATAGCTTGGAGTGCAACTAGATGTATAGAAGACAGTAAATTCAAAATAGATGCTAAGATTTGTCATTTTGCCATTTCTAAACATAGGAACTGATGCATCTACAGCAGTTTTGTTGGCTTTGGATTGGTTATCCAGAAACACATTGCATTTAAGTTTTGATTTTAAATCTCTTTTTATCATTATTAGTTTTTGTTGCATTCTTAGCATTCCCAGTAACCACAGGGTGAAATCCCAGTGCATTGCATCAGTGTAGCTTTGTGGGTGGCATGGGAGGGCACACTTTATACTGCTCAGGTAAAACTGTATAAAGTTTTCCTGTCCAGACAAGCCTTCAATCTAGGCTTATGAATAAAATGTCTTCTCTACAAGAGGGCTTTTTGATACAGCATATAATGTTCTTCCACTTGTTATTGGTGATGAGGGGAATAATATTTGGCAGGTAGAGTCATAATGGATTTTGTCTATTTAGAGGGAAAAAGAAGTGGCACTGAGCAGTGTCCATCAGCACAATCCTGACTGCGATATTTGGGTTCATGAGTATTTTACACCGTCTTGGTTCTGCCTGCCGAACAACCAGCCTGCTCTGACAGTCATCCGGCCTGGGGACACTGCACGAGATGTGCTGGAAATCATCTGTAAGGTAAAGGCTACGAGCATGCTGTGGAGTGGCATGAAGTGTCTACAATCCTGAGCCCTTTCAGTTGAACCTTGTAGTGAGTTTATCTTGTGCCAGCCCTCAAACTGTGCTGTCCTGGGAGACTACATGTATGTTAGATGAAAAACATTAATGATACTGAATTTCTCATGCTCGCACCATGCAAGAAAAATTCCTACAGCTGGGGCTCAACATGAGTGTAGGGAGAGGAAGGCAGACTATGTGTTGCCTTCTCCATTTTGGCCACCATGCATGAGCATCTGAAGTGCCTTATCACCCTGACTCTGCCTGTGCTGCCACCTCTCAGGTACCGACAGACACTCTCCCCATCCACTGGCAGCTAGGCTGTGTGCAGGACCCTTCACCTCCCCCTCTCTGGCCTCCAGCATCCCAGCTCTGGCCCCGAGCATGATTACTTCCACTGGATATCCCTGCCACAAGTCCCCCTGCTTCTGCCAAACTCTCCTCCCGTGGCCCATCTCCTCTGCCAGGCAAGAGGGGCGATAATCACCCCTTCCCAGGTGCCAGCTCATCTTGTTTCCAGGTGCTATTCCTCCTCCCTTCCTTCCTCCTGCCTTTTCATTCCCTCTGGCTGGCATGGGGGAGGAAGGCAGATAGAAAACAGCCAGGAGTAGAAGGTGCCTGTGTTTGCTATCTGCATTGCAGAGTCAGGCTTACTTGTGTAGGTGGCAAGAGTGAAGAGAGAGAAAAACTTTCATCTTCATTTGGGGAGTGGGTGGAAGAAAAACCACCTGGATTTGAAATTTGGCCATTAAAAAATGTTACATCTTAGCAGAGAAGTTGAAAGCTTTGACAAATTAAATACAAGCTTTCAGTTCTGGCAGTTACATAATGTATGTTTTCTGGGCTGACTGCAAGGTAGACCAAACTCAAGGCACGTGCCTTTCTTAAAAGTGAGTCCTCTTTTGTACAACAACAACAGCAAAAGAAAACATTTATTACTGTGAAGAGCTTAACTTTGGGTACTTTTAGAACCTGTTGCGTGTGCTTCCAAAGAGAGGGAAGGTGAGAGAAAGGCATTTGTCTGCAATAATTATACAGTGTGCTTGTCTCTCTGTCAGGTGCTATATTAAAGAGTGATGCAGCTTGTGAAGGTTCATCATTTTATTCAGGAAAATATGACATTTTTGGAGAGAGACGTAATAGAGAAGCTGGATGACAAATTATTAGTAATGATTTTTTAAAAAAGATTTATATGTTGCTTTGGGTAAGAGTGATTAACTCAGTGGGCCAAATCCTTAGCTGGAGTAAATTGGTGTATCTCCACAGGTTTCAGTAGGTGTCTGCTGAGAATCTGGTCTCTCTGTGTGTGTTTGATTTTTGTGGGTGGTGGTGCATAAGGAGAAAGGGAGGTGGGTGAGTGGTTTTTTTTAAGAGCTATTACCTGTTTCTTTCCTTTCTGTAAGAGTTTTCAGTCTGGAAAGCACTGATGGATGCCTTCTTTTCTGTAGCATTTAATAATCAATCTCTTTCTTCTGTCTCTTGCATTCAGCTCATTTTTTCCCCTTTAATATCTGATCCACATCATTTCACATCAGTTTGCCATCTGCCATCTGAGAACCAGTCAAGTTCTGGTATAGTAAACATTTCAAGATCTACATTTCATATAAACCTCTTCATGTTTGTAGATGTGGTTAAATCTATCTGTGCTATTAAACTGAGCTTGATTATTCTGTTGGAGAACATTAAGTGCACTCAAATCATTGTAGAAAATGTGTTCTTATACTAGCATTGCTGCTTGTCATTATACAGTGAGTTAGATTTTGGAGGCTGCTTTGTGACACTTTTATGATTCAAAATTGGTGGGAAGAGAGTTTAAAGTGTATTTTAAAGTGTTTTCTTGAGGACTTCTAAGATTTAACTAATAACATCACTTGGAAGGCAGGAAAAGTCAGTGTATATACATTAAATAGTTTCCTATGAATAGTACTGATCAGTGTGAATGGATGTATACATATTACCAGTATTTTCATAATGGTATATCTTGAAATTGAGTAGAAACATGCACACTGCATATGGTTTTAGGCAGAGCCAATATGGGGAGAATAACTCAAAAAATCATGCATAGACAACATGGCATTTAGTTTTTTGACTGAACTGGATAAAAAGCAAAAAGGTTCTTTTTTTTCCCCATGATTAGCATTTTTCAGATAGACCTGCATAAGGGGCAAGAAACAGATTTTCCCTAGTTCTCCAAGTCTGTGCTTAAAGTCTCTGAGAAGTTAGTTAAGCCTGATGTTTTGTGGGCTTAATTTGAATTTGAGCTGGGGTTTTTCTACTGAAAAAGCTTGGGACCCACAAGTGCGAAGCCAAAGTAACAAGGTGGGATGGCTGGCATGTTTCTGTGGTGCTGTCATTTCCGTGCTAATGAAGGTCTCTCCCACCAAGCTGAAAGAATGTGCCTGTTCTTGAATCTGGTGATTGTCTGCTAAGGCAGGTGGGACTGAGGGAATGATGACCAAAGGTGTCTCAGATGGGTCTCAGATAAAGCTGAATGGTCCTCTGGAAGTACCAGTCCCTGGCTTTAACTAGAGGAGAGCTGAAATGAATTTATAGTTCAGGTTGTGCGTCAACATGCTACACCATGTGGAGCCTGTTGAATTGGATCACACCCTAGATTGTAAATGCTTCTTCAAGTGCATGTCAGTTAACCTGTCAGGTTGTGCTTTAAATTGGGTTAGCTGCTTACTTTATTTCAGACATAGCCAGATTTATTAGGAGAGAAAGAAATAAACTGAGAAGCTTATTTGGACTACTAAAAAGTATTTTGGGTGGTCCTGGAAGGATATTAATATAATTAAAGCTGCACTGTTTCTGGTTCCACCTTCCCACATATGGATGCAGCAGAGCCAGCAACAACAACAAAAGGTGGGTTAATGGTATGACTTTTAGGGCAGACTGGCTATGTCCACTTTGAGAAGGCCTTTTACTTCCACTTCAGTAGAAAATCATGCCTCTATTTGAAAGAGTTGAATGTAAAATTTTGAGGTAGACAAAGCCTTGCTGCAGCAATACACATGTTAATTAACTAAATGGTGTGGTTCATGTGCTGCACCATCACAGCTCTAATGGTGATGACTCTCATTGTCTGATTTGGGTGGAATTGCAAAGTAGTTCATGAATGGCATCCACTCTGGCCAGTAGTGTTTCTTGGAAGAAATGAGTGGGCAAAATACATGTGTGTTTTTTCCAGTGACCTCTCTAGACAATGCAGTGCTCTGGCATAGTTCAGGGCTTCAATGCAGCTTTGGTCATTCTGCATTTGGCTCCATCCTGCCCTCTCAAATGGCCAGCATACACAATTTTCTCCTAAGCAAATCTCCATGCCAAGACTGGTGTGGAAACAGAGGTGTCAATGGTCATCTCCATGTGTCAGGGACATGTAGCCTGTCAGCACAGGCCTGGCTGACTGGCATTTGTGCAGTGTCTGTTCCTGATGCTGCATGAAACGCAGGACATGTACAAGAGCTTCAGCGTAGGAGACCATGGGCTGATACACCATGGTGGAAGGAGGAGACTGCCAGGTTGCCTGGCTGTCTTTTCTGCTAGTATGGTTTTTCCACACAGAATTTTTTTTCCCCACTGGCTTTGCTGTAAACAGTTCAAGCATTTTCTGGACTTCCAGAGACTTAGCATGGACTTTTCTCTCTGGATGTGGGGTGTGCAGTCTGTAGCTTTATGTCTTCTCTTTGAGTTTAATTAGTGTGCAAAGCACTCTCTAGTTTGTATCTAGGGATAGTAAACGAATCTGACCAGAAACTAATCTAGGACTCCTATGTATGATTTATGCATGACTAAAACCAGTTCTGCTTCCCTTTAATTTCTGGGCTCTTTGTATGTGTGTGCATGTAAGAGAAAGAACTATGAAAAGAGTAAAAAATGGGCATGCAAAATGCTTATCAAAAACAAAAAAGAGGGCAGAGGATGAGGATCTCCTGTGCTCAGCTCTTTTTATTTTGGCCTTTGATATATTTCACATGCCTTATTTAATTAACTAGGTATTTGTCTGGATTATAGAGGTTATCCTATTTCAGTTACTCAGTTTCATACATGGATAATTTGGTCTTTGAATTGGACGTATTTCAGCATAGTGCTACATAAAGTGCAGCAATAGATCTGTCTTTTTTTCCTCCTTCATATTGGTAGCTCTTTTTTATTCATGAGTTAATCTAGACTTTCAAACATGTTCACTTGCTTGCTGAACAGTGTGTGATCTTTTCCATGGGTCACTCAGTGTACATTTCTCATCTCTGCTGTGTGATCAGTCAGCTGAGTTCTAGTGTATCATTGTCTTGGCTTGAACTGGGTAAGCGAGGCTTAAAAAACCATAATAAGTAGGCAATAATGATATTTTTGCATGAATTTTCAGACGAGCCATTGTTTTTGGTGCAACCCAGGAAACTGGTAATTTGCTCATACAAAATGAGAAGGCCAATGTATAAAAGCATATAATAATGGGATTTCAAAAGTGACAGTAAAAATTATTTACCTCCTGTATTTGTGAATCACTTTGGGTTACAAACTTTGAAAGTAACTTCTGAATGACATCCTTTGTGTCAATCATAATTCACATGTGTTTTGATTACACACTGCATTAACCTCTGCTTAAATCAAGCTTATTAATCGTGCTGAGAAAAGGTCATTAACATCTCCCAGACCAAATGCTGTATCCTCAGCTAATTATAACTAATTCATTAAAATGGTGTGACCTGTTTCCACTGGGATGTAATCCAATATGCTGCCCTTAGCTTCTTTTAGTCGTATAAAGCCAGTGTACCCTGAGCTGTTTTGGATTAGAGGACGTACAGATTTTTTTTTTTATATTAACCTTTCTTGAAAGCCACATCATTAAAGTGTGAAGATTCTAAAAAAACAAAACAAACAGAAAAAAACCAGCTTTTTTGTTACATTTTTCTCTGTTAGTAGAGCATCTGTTTTCCTCCTTGCAGTTTAACATGCCCTTTTGTATACAAAGGTTTGCTCTGAGTCTTCTACAGTAATAGTGGTTTTTTATTTCTGCAATAGCATGGAATGGAGCAGAACTGTCAGATAAGCAGGACCAAAAAAGCTGCTTAAGAGTACTAGCACTGCCTTTGTCATCCTGGCCAGTGGTTAAATGAAGGCTTATTTCTGTGGAAGAGGTGGAGGTTCAGGTTCTTGTTCAAGGTAGGAGGTCACGGGCCTCTTGTGAAAGATGATGCTGGGGCATTTTTCTTCCTATGAGTGTCAGGCCATTCTCTAAGTATAGGTGATGTGAGCCATTGCTTTTTCCTCCTAAAGTCTCTTCCCTGTCTCTTGCAGACACACCACCTGGATTACTTTGCTCACTACCTGCGTCTCAAATTCCTGATTGAAAACCAGATTCAATTTTATGTACCAAAGCCAGAAGAGGATATCTATGAACTGGTAATGCTACCTACTGAACAAAATTAAATGATACTTGGTAGGACACTATTAATAAGTGTTTATCTGTCATCTGTAATATGCAGAATTATGCTTTTTAACTTGCAAATTTAGTGCTCTGCACACCATAGCAAATTGGCCTACAGTAAAGTAATCTCCCTAGACATTTCATCTCGACAAGAGAGTTGCTATTTAGCTTATGTTTGTGCAGGCACGTGTCTCTGTGGAAGAGAGAGAGGATCTACAGCCACAGGTAATGGTGAAAATCACTGTAAACATAGTTAGGATTAACTTTTCTCAAGGTTGCCTTTTCCTGTTGTTCATATTGTCTTTGGTAAAAAAGACAGTGTTGAGGCCTGTGTATTTCTGGTTCAGATCACTTTGCATGATTTTTCAAGAGAAGGAAAATGCACAGGTAGTTGGGGTTTTTTTGCTTTGTTGTTTGGTTGAGGTTGTTCCCCCCCACTGAATGAGGAGTAAATGTTGAAGTTAAAAAGCTGTGGAGTTATGTGTTACTATATACTTTCCTAATTGCTTCAGTTAGATGTTTTCATATCATTCATCTCAAAAGCAGACTTCAAAGGAATTTTTAATTTGGAGATTAAAAAAAAAGACCAAGTAGAATTAGTGTCATTGATTTTACACATGCACATTAAAAAGTTTTTTAAACTTTTCATTGGTGGCTTTTTTTTTAATAAAAAGTAAAACTTTGCCAATTATGGATGCTTTTGCTCATATAGTAAAGAAGTTCTAAAATTTGCCATTAACACTATCAACAACAACAAAAAAGAGTGAGAAAGTGCTAGTACAGTACTAAGACTGAAAAGTAAAATGTAGCTGGGAAAAATTAAAGATCAGAGGAGACAGATTTTAGCTTTCATTGCCTGCAAGGATTTTGGTGACTTGTCTTATGTTGAGAGGATGTAGGATTGACATAGTCATCAGTTATTGTTTATTCTGAAAAAATGAAATCAAACCAAAACTCTACAGCCAGTGGGACTATGTACATGCTGGAAGACTATAATATGGATAGATGTTGCACAGTTGTATCTAATATAGTAATATTAAAACAACACACATTTGTATGTTTGCTTGTGAGGGTATATGTGTGCTTGTTTCATTAGAAAATTTGAGTTACTTTATTTCAGTGTTTGATTAAATGATTGTGGTGCAATATGATAAAACTAATGCTTGTATTTTAGTAGTCTCCCGAATATCTGTTTATTGTCTAATGTTGATGTCACCTTGCTAGAAGTATCTTCCATCTTTTAAGATGCTTTTAGAGATACACATTGCTGCAGAAAAGGTAAACAACATTTCCTAGGATGAAATTCTTTTTTCTCGCAGAATTCATAGGATGTATTTCTTATTTAAGAAATGGAGAATAAATATCCATATTCCAGTCCTCTCCAAAACATTAATGCTGATGCTTTGTGCTCTGACACAGTCTTTCAATAATTACAAGCTTGGTGTATTGTGTCTTACAAATGGTAGTAAGGGCTTAGGGGGGAGTATTTAGATTAGGTGCTGTACCAGGAGGTTATAGCTGTTTAAGCACCTGTTACTGTAAACGAAGGTTTTGGCTGAAGCTTGATGTTCCACTTTTTACTTGGAGTGAGATGGCCCTTTTAGGTGGAAGCACAAGACCAAAGGCTTCCCTGAAAATCTTGCAGGTGTGATGAGGCTGGGTTGAAGGCATTTGGGCTGATAGAAAAGGTAGCCCCTGGGAAAGGGTGCTGGAACAAGACCAAAAGTAGTAGAGGAACAAAGGGCAAGGAATTGAAAACAATAGCAACAGTAGTAGTAGTAATAATAAAACCCAATAATATCCCAAGGTTGCCATGAGAACCACTGTGAGGGACTTGAGTGGCACAAAGGGGCAACACTGCCACTGTCAGGATGAAATCCTGTCCTTGGGCCTAGCAAACCTCCTTGGGATGCTCCTAGTATTGCTATCAAACCTCTCTGTGCCCAGATAAGCTGCTTGTCCTTGGTTTTGGGACAGTGGGTCCACAGGGCACAGAAATCTGAATGGCACCTCAGGGCTCCTTCCAAACTGGCTCTCTGGTTTGGGCAGCTCAGCTGCAGTCCAAGCATCCCAGTTATTTGCCTCCCATTCAACACAGGTTCTTGCTTGAAAAGGCACTTTGGGATGCAGGCAGTATGTGTAGCTCCTGTATCCTTGTGAGATCATGGCAGACATCCTCCTTGGTTCTGGACCTGCATGCTCAGTTTAGATAACTGCAGGGATCAAACTCAAGTTTTGTTTGGAAAACACTGCGATTTTCAGTCCATTTTTTCTTTCTCCTTTTTTTAAAACCTGTGCTGAAATCTAGCTGAGATTTTTGTAAAGGTCATTTGACTCTTTTTCAGATTCTGAAAAATATATATTTGAATAATATATATGATTCTGAATAATATATATTTGAAAACCATGTCTTAAAAATATTGCTAGCATGGCATCCTTGTTTAGTTTTACATTTTATTTTACTACATGGAGTATAATTTAAATGCATATATAACTGTTGTGTAATTCTTAATATTTGCAGTTAAACAAATGTGCATGTGTTCATAAAAGCAGAAGATAATATTATATTACTAAAGAAACCCTTTACTAATTAATTACTCTTAATTTTTAAATATATTGGTTAAATACTTCAGTCTGAACACTGATGCCACCTTGTTTCAAAATGTTAATTATTGTGAATTCCTTTTTTACACACTCATACCAGCATGTAAACAAAATTACTATTTGCCTGTCGGTATGTTTTTTTTCAAAAACAAAAAGATGGTTTTTTTACTTAAGTGCTAGCCTGTGCTATGGAAAGAACAGCTTAAAACCTTGGCTTAGCTGGAGTTTTCCAGAGTGTCAAGTCTGTCTTACAAGGAGCAAGTCAGGGCTGACTCCCAAAGATGTCAGCTCAGAGCCTCAAATATCCGATACAGGTGACTTGGTCTGGAAAAGTGGGATTTCCCTGTCTTAGGTGGCACAACAGGACCTTGTTCAGAGCTTGGGGCAGGACCCCAGTACAACAGAGAGCTACACAAGACAGGAGAACATAGGTGATTTAGAAGCACAAAATGTGTGATCTGTGGTGGAGGTGTTGCCTGGCTCCTGAAAGGCAGAGTGAATTGCACCTGCATGCTTAGGCTTCTGGGTTAATACCTAGGTGTGAATTTGTGCTGGTCTCCTGGGAAGGATGTTAATGACTATTTCAAAGACTTGGGAGGGCTTTTCTTGGTACAAATGAACATAAATGTGCTAAGGATGATATTTCATGATAAGAGTGAGCTGCATATCAAATCTGTTAGTCTTCTAACAATTAAGAAATTCATTTAAGAAACAAAATCCCACCTTGTGAATTTATTACTATCAAATAATTTAATTCCTGCAATGTCTTAATCAAAATTATATAAAAATGTTAAATGATGAATACCCGTAAAATAAGAAAACAGGAATAGAAGCTTTGTTTCTTGTGCTCAAAATGGTATTGACTGAGTGAAATAGATGTATCTTTGCTCTAATGTTGGCAGTAGTAAAACACTGCTTCCTCCTCTTTAACTGTGTTCAAACAGTAAAGTTTGGTGACACTACTAATAAATCTTACACATGTGGAGATAAATTGTTTGACAGAAAATGACCACGGCCCACTTCTTCCACCTGTAATTTAAAAGAAAAATCTGTTTGAAATTTTTACAGTTGATGTGTCCTCCCACAGTAACATACTTTTGTGTTACATTTTTTCTCTTCAGCTGTACAAAGAAATTGAAATCTGTCAGAAAATAACACAGCACATTCAAATAGAGAAGTCTGATGCATCCTCTGATATTTACGGTGAGTTTCTCTCCTAGCTTTGTTTCTAATTTTCTGCTAATTCAGTCCTAGTGTGTGCAGGTTCTTGCTTGCTATTCACTGGTACACCTGAAAGGCCTGTTGAATGCAGCAAGAAGATCACATCTGATACCTGTGCCATCCACAGAAAGCTCACTCCCCTGCCCTGAAGTGGGATGGCTTTATTTGCAGTGCACTGCATGCTATGTTTCCTGGTGCTCCAGCTGTAGGGTGTGCAGCTCTTCAGTGAGATCTATGGTGGCAGAAAGGACAGATGTTTTCTTGTTCTTGTAGTTTCTCAAAATACCGTCTAAAGAGGTTGTGCAGCTGAGCGCCACTGGAACACAACATCCTTTGCCCTTTGTCACATCCTACATGAGTGCCAGCATGGTGGCATTCATGGGGTCCCTGCAGTGGGGCTTGAGAGGGGGCTGCCAGTGTAGCTTGATGCTGCTAGCAAGCTCTCCCACTCCTCAGCCCTTCCACCCAGTGCGATGGCAGGGATGCAGCCAAGAGCATTGCTGTAGGTAGGACACATCTCAAGGTCTGTGGCCATGCAGGTGTCCAGGAGATGCTGCTTGCCCCCTTCCCCCATATGCTGTGGGGACTCAAGCTGGGTCCATGTCTCATCCCGATGTTACTGAGGCTGGAGGAGCCTAGCCTCAGTGTACACCCAGACCTCAAGCATGCTCCGACTCCTTGAGCCAGAATCTGACATGTCATGCAGATCTGTGTATAAAACATAAAACAAAGGAAGTCTTCCCTGTGAAATTTCAGCAAAATCCCTAATCTTTACCTGGAGGTGTCATATTTCTTTGCTTTCAAGTATTTAAAATTACAGACCTCCAGCCTGGTGAGTTTGCCCTTTGGTCTGACAATTACAGTTTTGTGGTGTATTTTAAAGTTATTTGTGCAACCTACCCTGCAGGAAGCCAGTCTGCATCTTTTTACTGTTTATCTGAATGTTCTGGTTTAGTCACTAGAATAATTCTGAATCCCCAATCTGCTTAATATACAGCTGCAGGCCATTTGAATATTGAGCTATGCTACAAAGCAGTGGTCCTGACTGCAGCTTGAATATTGGAGGCCTAAGAGAGAAATATTAACCAGTGCAGCGATGGCCCTGAGTTTGATAAGTGTGCTGTGCTTGAAAGTACTGCAAGAGTTAGGGGTATCATAGCATTTCTGTCTTTTTCTTCTCTTTTTAAAAATGATAGATGGGAAAGACTGCAAAATACACTGTCATGTTCCGTGGAATGAGATCAGCTGTGTGAGACATAGGATTTATTTGTTCAGTGGCTCTGACCCAGCAAAAAGTGAACCCTAAATACACCCCAAAAAACCTGACTTTTCTGTCATTGAAAGAAAATGGAGAAACTTACTTTGACTCTGAATGGCAGCAGAATTTTTGTAGTCTGTGTGTGTCTCATAGAAGCACTCCTATGTGTTCATACAATGACAAGTGTTTGCTGAAATACATGTGTGCCTGGGGAGCAGAGGTGAAATGCTGATCATGTCTTGGTGCTGGGGAAGGCTAGGGTTCCTCCTGAGATGCTTTCCCATCCTTTATGTTCTTTAGTCTCTTTACAGAACAGCACATTCACGAGTTATGAGAACACAAAGATCAGAGCTTTAAAATTTTGGCATAGAATCTTTTTTAACAGAGATTTAGTCTTTTTTAAGGGTTCTTTACTACAGGTTTTGTTTTGAAAAAAACCCACAATCAATAGTATGACCTCACAGTCTCCAAGCATCTAAGCACCTGCATAAGTCCTTGTGTGAGTGGGGCTGCCTTTGAGATTGATTCTCAGGAAGGCAGGCAGCACTGGAGGCTCAGCCCCTCACTGGCACTTCAACAATTTTTGGGAAGTGGGGCAGGAGCCAGTACAGAAACCAAATGTCTAGAGCATGAAGTGTCCTTTTTCTATGCAGAAAACATACATGCAAATTCCCTGTGCCTTGATTCCTTCAGAAGAACTGGAAAAGTCTTCATTTTGAAAATGGATAAAATTATGAAAATCATTAGTGACATTACCTGTTACCAGTATTCCAGCAACAGCAATAATACTACTTGTAAATAACCTTGGATTTTCAAGATACTTCACAAGGAGCTGTTAATTAATCCCAACAATGTAGACTTACTGCTCCTATCTCCATTTAACAGACATGGTATCAATTAGGGTGCAATTAGACAGGTCAGTTCAGCTTGTTAGCCTGGCAGAAAGGTAAGATAATGAAGTGAAGCTGTATGTTGGCTTTGCAAGCTGTTTTTGGCCAGCTAAGAGATTCTGGTGCTGAGGAAGTAGCAGAGCTGCCCCTTCAAGCATTAGCAGGCCTTTGGAGCAGCTTCACCATGGCCTGGAGCACACCTGAGTTCAAGTGACATTAAGAGGACAGAGCAGAGCATTTACAGGGAAAGCTCACCTGGGAACATTTAGTAGAATTTCTACTCCCACTCATGTGCTTGTGGAAAGGGCCACTCCTGGAGTGTCTGGCTAGTGTGTCGGGCCTTCCCAGCATTAGCTCTGTCAGTGTGATGCTGTTGCTGATGTCCAGACACATTGCTTCTTTCACTGGTACCAGCCTTTTTGCAAAGGTTGTGCTGGCAAGTCGTGGCACACCAGCAGGAAGAGCCTATTGCTTCCAGCTTCTGTATGCCCTGGGAACACACTGGCATTTTTGTTAGCAAAGGGGTCAGGGCAATTTTCTGAAGGTGGATTTGTTCAAGTGTTGTGCTGATTTGGTGAGGCCATGTGCACTCATAGGTGCAAATTTCTGTTCTCCTGTCATCAGAACTTTGCAGTGAGGAAAAGGCTCTGTCTGGGTCACCACCCATCACTTCCCACCTGTGTTTCAGAGTCCATGCACAGTTTGATCATAATCTTTTTGGCAGTGATGCCAGCTTATGCAATCGTTGCTTCCACCCACTCCTGCCCTTCCTCTCATGCGATGCTAGTACATGTGTTTGTATGGAGCACCTGCAGACTTCAGCCAGTTGGAAACCGTACATTCATACTTTACAAGTGTATATACGAACTACACAGACATGTTTACACGTGTATGCATATTTACAAGTATATATATATATATTTATAAAAATAAAGCTTGACTTCAGGTATTTCTCCTCTTGATGAGTTACCTGCTCTGCTTTACTGCAGGGCAGTGAAAGCAGCGGTACCTGCACTGCAGTGGGACAGGAATGCTGTTTCAAATTTTTCAGCTACATCACAACTGTGAAAATAAACCATTTTATCCATACTTAGTTTATGGTCACATACCCTGTCTGCAGTGGGTATTTGTAAGATGACCATTTAAAGGCTGTTGCCAAGTGCCCATCACTCATCTCCCAAAGGTGATGACAACACATTTAATTACTCCTTGCACTCATTCTGCTCTGGATTTTTTCTTAATGAAAGCTGAATTTAAAAACAACTACACATTCCCTTATGCCTGACAAATCAGAGGAGGCAGAGGTCTTCTCATGGAAGAGACTGGGAGCTTAGGACTGCTTAGGCATGCAAATCTCTTCAAGTTAGCCTCAGTGAGAGCTCTAGGTACAACTCAGCCTTGTTTTAACTGTGTGATAGTTGAGTGTAGAACAGCATGTAAGTTGAAAAAGGGTGATGGTATTAGTAACTGATAGTTTGTGCTGACTCAAACTGCACTCTTGTGGCTATGCTTGGCTACTGTGCTTCTGGTTAAGGGCCTTGCAGGTAGGCTTTGCAGTGATAACAACCAATATCTACTATTTTTTTTTACAGCTGCTCATTTGTTTAGTTAAGAGTTTTTCTCTCTGCCAAGGTTGGTGTGTTGAGTGAGCTTCACAAATTTTATTTTATTCAGGCAGAGGAACTTGCATATATTCCAAGTAGATCAGTAAGTCACAAAGGGCCATATGCTCCTTGCTTCTAGGCTGCCACATTCTTCCCCCTCCTTTCTCTTTTTTTTTTTTTTTTTTTTAATGATAGATGAAAAAATAACTTCTTATCCATAAGCACCAACTTGAAGGGAGTCCTAAAGTCTGAGTAGGCTCTTAGCACATCTGCTGCTTCTTGGCTGGTAGTTGATTCCATGTCAAACAAGTGTCTCCCCCAAGAGGTTTGTAAATGTTCTTCTAGTCAGAAAAAGAACAAATGGTTGCCTACACCCATTTTGGGAGTAATGGAGTTTCAGAAAGGCAAATGTTCTGCTTTAGATAACTCTCAACAGAAAATAAATAAACCCTATTTAGCTAACCACATTGTATTTCCTTTACACATTGTTATCTTAGGCAGTGTCAAACACAAATGGCAGGAAAATCACCAAAACTAAACATAACAGTACCATTTGCACTCTTCAAATTAAGACTGCTTCAGAACTGCCATTATAAAGATGGTCTATAGGTCTCTAACGTAGCTATAAAATGTGCATTGAGCTGAGACTTAGCAAATAATAGGTCATGTCAGGAGCAGCTGAGAATAGAAAGGGTTAAAAGAAGAAGCAGTATTTTTGCAAACTTGTCCAGTCAGGGAATTAAAAAAAGTAAAACTTGGCGTTCTTCTTTAGCAGGTGTTGTTTGCCTTGTCTGAGTTCAGGATGGCACATCAGCCACAGCTCTCTGCTTCCTGGTTTTTGTCAATTTCTGTCACAAACCACATCTCTGCGCAGCTTTTGTCTGCAAACAGCAAAACTTCTTGAAGTGACTACTTGTGGCAGGAGAACTGGAAGTCTGTTCCAACATTTTGCAGCTGTGTTATCCTCAAATAAAGCTGTAAATGATTTATCTATACACTCAGAAATTATGTACAGGTTTTTGTTAAAGCCACTTTAATTTTCTAACTTTGTGTTTGTAAAGGTTAATGGGAAGGAGAAGGGAGGAATTTCCAACTGTGCTGCTGGGATAGTGCAGCCTTATCTGTAGTGTGTGCAGTTGTGAGGACACACTGAAAGTGGTTGGCTTTTTCTAACTGCATCACTGGGTATTTCCCTAGGTTTCTCTCTGTCGTCTGTGGAAGAAGAAGGTGTTCGTCGGCTGTATGTGAATGGTGTCAAAGAGACAGGCCTGGCTTTCAAGAAAGGTAAAAGGCTAAACTGTTTTTGTTATCGCTTGCTTAATCCTGGTGTGGACCATGAGCTTGTTGGGATGGGAGCTTTATGAACACACCAAACCATGGTCCTTGTCCGAAGGAGGTTACGGTCTTTTGAAAATAATTTGGGGTACGGAAGACCTGACTCTGTTCTGCTCTTGAGATCATCTATGATACATAGTCAACCTCTCTTAATTTTGAGTTGCTATATATGTAGCAGGGTTAGCACATCCCTTGCAGCTAGAAAGAGGAGCAGGGCCCTCTCAAATCAGTCACTGCAAAATGACTGGGTATAGTAGAAGTCCTCATAGTGCTCTCTCTGTGGCTGGAATTACTGCTACTAGTTTTGCTTCCAGCCTTTGCAGGAAGCATGACAGCAGTTGGGCCAGAAACTGGCAGAGGTAACTGGGTTGCCAGGCTCATCTTAGGGCATTCCTTGACTTTTCCAATGTGCTGGCATTACTGCTTGTGCAGTCATGGGATAGGCTGGTTAGGGAGCTGGGCAGCTAAACAGGTTTTAAAATATAACATGAGTTGCACAAAAAGTGGGAAGACTCTTTATTTCTTCATAACCCGTCAATTTATGTAGAGTCCTCAAAAACACCTTCAGAGTTTTCTTGATGAGTAGTTATATGGTCTTGCAGAGCTTATTCAACAGTTTGCTGTTGCTGTCAGCAATGGGTGCTGGTCTCCCCAAAGCTGCCTGCAGACCTTTGCCTTGTGCTGACTCTGGCACTCTGCTGAGCCAATTCTGCTCACTGTCTTAACAGAGAACTGCAAAATGTGTGGCTGGTTTTCTGACCCACTAGCAAATGGAGTAGGCTTGTGTTGCAGTGAAGCAAGTGGCAGAAGTGTCACAGCAGAGGGACAGGACTGTGCAGGCAGAAACTAGAAAGGAAGAATCTGGGGAGGGGGAGCAGTTCTGGCTGCAGGGAGCCTGGAGTTTTCCTCACCTGCAACATCTAACCCTAATTCAAGAAAACCTTGTAAGTGGTTCTGGAGGCTCCTGTGTATGTGTGTCTGTTAAACTTGAAAAGACCATCTTTCTCTCCTCAACCCACCTCAACCCCATACGATTTCCTGGCTGACAGGACAGGGATTCTTCCAAAAGCCCTGACCAGGGGCTGGGGGACATTTCGTTGCCAGCCTGCACCAGGGAAATAAAACTCTGTGGGCTTTTTGTGGGGAGCAAAGAGAAAATGGGGGACGAGGTGTGTGTGTGTGTAAGGGATCAGCAGGGCCTCTTTATTTTTAGAAAAGGTTTCTGCAACAGTTTAAATGGATGCATGAACACAGACTGCCTCCTGTGGGGCTAAAACGCTAAAACATGCTTTCAGTGATATGTTGCTTTTCACAATTAACATAAAAAGCTAATTCTGTATGAACAGTATTTGGTAGGGTATTATGACAAAATAACCCATAGTTAGTAGAATGCAGTGAGGAAAACTCTCCTCCTCCCATTATTTACATTCATATTTGCATTTGACTGCACTTCCTATAAGAAGTCTAACAAGAAGAGATACAATGTTTCATTTTCAATCTTTCCTCCAGTTAGAAAACTTAGATTTTATTTTCTCCTAATAGTTTTAATAATTTTTATTTTTTTCTATTGTTCTGTGTTAGCTAGACCATTGTTGGAATTTGAGCTGCTTGATTGTACTGAGATACACATGATGCTTTACCCTAAATAATTAAAACCAAAGACTATAAAGAGCAAATGAAGCCCCAGATACGATGTTTATGGTTGTAGGCATATTAATGTGCTACTATTATGACATGGCATCACTAAGTAGAATAAATGAAATAATGCAAAATGCTTGACTTGCCTTGTTTTGTCCTTGTTTCAAATATGATTTTATGGTCCGTTTATTTTGTAGCTGTTCTATCTATTTAATTTTATTCTCTCCAAAACTGCACGCTACACTACAGTTTCAGGGCACAATGGCATGCATTTAGAAAGATCTCAATTTTCTTAAAGAAGACTGAAGCCCTTTAGCCTCCTCCCTTCCATGTTTTTTCCTTGAATGTGGGTAGGTAATCTGTTTCCTGGAGGGTGCAGCTGAGCTCTGCTTGCAGCTCGGGCTCATTGAGTAAGGCCTTTCATCTGGGTTTAAAGGGTGGCAAGACTTGTCCCTCACATGATTGCTCACCCAGAGGACTGCATGGCATGAGGGCAGGTCAGCCTCACAGAGCAGCTTTTTCAACCCCGGAAATTCCGTCTTTCATCCCTGTAAAAGCCAGGACAGTGATCAAGATGATGCAGCACTCCTGTTGGGAGATTGGTGGCCTTTGCAAGAGTGTGTGTTCCCACTGGCTGTGCCCAGTGGGCTGGCTCTTGCTGGGGGCTGCCTGTGAGGGACCACCAGCATCACCCTGAAGCGGACACAAAAGCTGCAGCAGTAGGAGCAGCTCCAATGATTTGGGCTGTCAGCACCAGCATGCCCTGCTGCGCTGCTGCCTATCTGATCTTAAATGTTATTTGGGATTAAACCCATGTCCAGCTTGCTGTTAAAAGTTGGAGAATGGGCCCAGCTGGCTGATGGGAAGGTCAGCATTCCT